AATTTTCATACTGCGTTCATAATTAACATGCTTTATACACATTAAACACATAAATTTATACTATTTTGCGGCTAGAATTGAAATTTATAAGCAGAAAATGACAGTTTCTGCAAGATTAAACAAGTAATAACTTATTAAATTTTGCGTTAATTTAAGAATAAAATTAACATTTTTGTTAACAATTAATAGTGAGTAATACGCTTATTTTCTTGTGTATAAAGGTAAAGAAACTAGATCAGAAAAATATCGAAAAAATTAATAATTAAGCAATAAATTCTTGTGGAATTTTACCTTCAACGTCTTCTAACCTGACTGGAATTGTTTTACTAGTTTCTAATCGGTCGAAAAAAAAGCAGTAACAAGTTCGACGGAGCAAAGATATTTTATAAATAAATTCACTGACCAAACAAGTTAGATGAAACCATGCAGAAAATTATAGTTTCTACATTTGTTTTAATGTCTTCTACGACTTGAATTTTTATGTCTTCGGTCACTTTTTTTTATGTAACTTTACATAAAAAAATTACACTGACATGTCTAAAATTCAACTTGTCTAAGTTCTAGTGAGGCTGAGTACTCGTGTTATATCTTACAAGATGAAGGATGAACCCTTTCATCTTGGATTTGGACTGAACTCCTCCATCTTTTAGGATGATCTAAGACGGAGGAGTTGAGAAGAAGGGGCATTGTCCACGTTGGAAATGATCCGAGGGTCAGTTAGAAGCCGGAATTTCCTTGGAGCACTCGATCTATCAGGTAGTCCTTGAGCCACTTTAATGTTTGACTAGTTTTCTGTTAAACTTCGACGAGGGTCACACTACAGAACTTCACGTTTAGCATTTTATTCGGATGACAGATGACAGCTTACGTCATCGTTTGTCATTCACTCCACCTTACTTTCGAGTGTGGGAGGTTTTTAAAATTAGAATAACGAGTGAGGAAAGGTATCCATTTTATAAGATTCCCTCGCGTTACAGATATTATTTCACTCCAATTCTGTTTGAGGATATCTATCTGTATATCTCATTTGCATATCTGGATCGGACGTAACGTTACGTTTAGATAGGGAAAAATAATCTTGTTACTTTTTTATGGTCGGTACGTTTCTTGAACATATCACTGTTTGCCACCGTTATCTGATAAATTGCTAATAAATATATATTCCGTGATATACAGGATAAAAGTAGCGTAACGGTGCGTTTCCTTGTATAAATTTTAATTAATAGTTGTACACATCCTGTTACGGCAATTGAAAGAATTTTGGAAAATCTGCAATGGGTGTTGTTGAATTTATTGATGTCAAGGCAAAAAATATTTCTTTCTTTCTTTTTTTTTTATCTGAATGACCCTTCTCTATTGCGGGTGATGTCGACCTTGACTAGACTCACCTGCTGGGTATCAGAGAGTTCAGAAATAGGAGCTCGAAATCCCATTGTTCTTTGATCTTGTAGGTCATTGATGTGAAAAGAAGCCTTTATCATGTTATCTTGATACAGAAATAATTCTATGTTCTCTGTTCTGTGTTCTGTATATTTTAAGCTATGTCTTCTGTGTTTTCTGTTCTGTATGTTTTTAGTGGTGTTCTTTCGACTTCTAAGTGCATGTTTTGTAACAAGCCTCTTAGAAGTCACTCACCTTTTGACAGCCTCAAAATATGAGGCCTAGATCAAAGGCTCCTCCTGTATTAGGGCTTAGTTTATACTTATAAGGAGTTTACTTATCAAAAATAAAATAATTTTATATATGGAACTATAAATATATCGTTGTATTTAGGCGATTTATGGNATTTTTCCAACTTTTAATGCTACTCTGAAGAAAAAATATTTTTATTTTACGTATTATTAATTATTAATTAATTAATGGATTAGAAATTTATGTGGATTACATCATCATTTTCATTCTCTTCTCTGTTTGTTTTTGCTGGTTTAACTGTCTTTGTTGTTAGCCCTTGAAATCTTATCAGGTTGGATAAAAGACAATTTATGGCCCACCAGTGACCAAGACGTTCTGTTCCCTGAACACTGGGAGTTTGTTCATGGGTTCACACCTCGCCAGGATGGGCTGGCCACATGGAGTTTTCCAAGTTTTCTCCATGTCTGTAACGCCTGAATAGGGACCAGTTACTCTTAAAAAGACCTCCCGGAAGGCATCTCCCTTAGGCAGATTGCCCAAGTGTTTCAATGCCATAATTTAATAAACAAACAAACAAAAGATAGTTTATACCCAGTTGATGAGACATATTGAATTTGATTGCCTAATAAGCTAGCTACTGTAATTTCAGTGGATAACCTGCTGGTTATCTGTTTTTGAAAGATAATTTGAAAGGGATCACAAGATATACAGTAGGGTAGGTTATATGAATATTTTATTTTCTGTGGATTATCCCCAAAATTACATTAATTTAATTGTGATTGATATTCACTTGTGGCTGGACATATAACCTTAATATGCTATTATCTTAATATAACAAATCCCATTTAGCTATCTAAAGCTAATCCCAGTTAGAAATGCTCTTCTATCATTGTAATGAAAGCACAATAGCACTGAAAAATGTAAAGTAAAACAAATATTCAGGTCTTAAAAGCAGAATTGTTTTCTAGAAAGAACAACAGCATACTATTTCATTTTCAATTATTTCCATTAGGAGAGTCTTATCCCCTAACCATTGTTGGTTCAGCCTGATCTACAGTGGGACAGCTGGTTGGCAAGGGACAAGACCCAACACATCCAAGATAGGCTGCCCATTGGAGTTGCTCACCTAGCACCAGAGCAGTAGGCTGATGCCTTAACTACTTCAACCATCCACTCTTCATTGTTTATAATCATTTATAATAATTTTAATTTATTTAATTTCTTTGTTTAGCAAACAACTGTTTTTTACGAAATTCCCATTAAATGTTTAGAATTTCTTTGAACTGAAGCGAGAAAGTTGATATATTTATAGTAATTTTTCATTTTTCTATCAAGATTCAGGTATGTATTTATTTATATAATTAAAAATAAACAAGGGGGGAACAAAATAAAAACATTAAACAGGGGCCATTCATTAATTAAGTATACTGTTTAAGGGAGAGAGGGGAGTTGCAAAAAGTACAGGAAAGATTGGGAAGGAGTTGAGACATTGTTTACTTGGACTATTTTAGTGGTATTTAGTGCCATACATATTTGTTCTTATAAGTCTATGTGCATAAACTACCAGAAAATGTTTACATAACTTTTTAAAGTCATTACTGTCAGGATGATCTGTGAACTATTGTACATGTAGTTAAAGGGGAGAGGGTTTGCCAAAAGTGTACAGTTATATGCAACATGGAGGAGGCTCAAAAAATACAGAATTAATGGATGGCACCACAGAATAAGATATAATTATTTAGTTTACTATAATAAGTGTGTCATGTTTACATCTCAATTTACCTTAGAACTTGAGCAGTTTTCTACTATCTGATACACTTTTTTTTCACGTTTAATTTCACTTAACCCTGTTCTAACCATGGTGTAATTTATCGATTAAAATAAACTACAATTAATCAAAAGTAAGATAGAAATTTGAATAAGTACCACCCATCAATAAAAACTAGAACAAATACCGCCACGATAAACGTGATAAACACTCCACCCTAGTTTTTCTTAAATCGGTAATTGTCCGATCTTTTAGCTCGATATGACCTCGATTGTTGAACTCTTATCCCTAATCTGCCCCTCACTCAGTGAAAGTACCACCCACTTTCTTGTATTACCTTTGTCTAACGGTAAATGACTGTATCAATAACATAATTTGATTTATAGTAACTCTAGAAAGGGTGTAAGGTCGTAAATATTCAAGAATTTCACACGTTCTCCTTAAGGCTCTTCGATTGAGCAATCACACAGGAATGCACCTCATTGAAATCAATATTTTTCTAGGTATTCGGGGTACAGAAAAATCTACAGTGGGGTTGTTTAAATAAATAATAATAATAAAAAAACTGCACGATTTTGTTTCGTTCTGCATAATCATCGGAGCGTTTTCTATAACACATTGTCAAGCGGCTCGCTCGGGATCAAAACAATTGTTTTCAATTTTAAGGCCGTCTACACCCAAACTTATCTATAAACTATCCCCTGTGCGATTTGTAGGTGAATTGGACTCCATAATCTCTTCTTTCCATCTCTCCCCTTTTTCTTGGTTAGCCCAAATTCCATTGAAGTTCGGTATAACGCGGTTAAAGAAATGGAACAATATGGCAGCCACATCATCATCTGTCCCGATTCTGACAGATACTGATCTGGGAATCGGTCGAGCGTGCACATTTGTCTAGACTGTTTTGACCTCTGAACCCGATAGCAACTTAACACAATACTCGAGTCTAGTGTTGTGGGATGTTACATTTAGTCTTTTAATAATAATAATAATCCCACATCCTCAAAAAACCCTTTTGTGATTAGAGATCTTGTGAGAATTTTGATCGTTACGCACGGTAGTCGGGTGATTTTTTTATTATTATTAATCTTTGTTATGTTTGGCTTCTCTGTAATGTAGTGATTATTTTCGAGTTATGTTTATTCTGTATAAAATTTGCGAAATTTTATTGTAAAATCATCTAGTTTTGTTCGTTGTATACGTCATAAAATCGCTCTTTCTTTTGCATTTGTTAGAATATGCAAATTTTGACTGAAAAACACCACAACTATGAGTACAAATTCGCGAATTATAATCGCAAAATAATTTTCTGGTCGTTATCTGTGTTATAAAATGACTTTTTTACGTATTAAAGTATGCAAATTTCTATTAAAATTTATTAATTTTGCTCTTAGAACATAACGATTTACGTTTTTAAATATTGAAAATTCTACTAATTTGCATTTTAATAGCACAATTGTTGTATTATTTCTCACTGTCCTTTGTATAAGATTTATGGAGTTTGATCTTTGAAAACACAATAATCGTATTTTTCAATTCTCTGTTTTGTTTTCTTAATGCAAATTTAGGGCATCAAAACATAAAACTTCCATTCTTTTCCTTTGAATTGTGTATTAAATTATGCAAATTCCGGTCTTAAAAACGTAATTTAAGGATATACTTTGTTGTGCTGAAAATTTTGATATGCAAAATAAATTATTATACACTCGATTTTACAATGCGAAGATTTTTCTTTTATTGATCGGGGGAATGCTGTATCTACAAGTCTTGTGCGGAGAATTAAATATGTAATATGGATAAAGTGTCAAACGATAGTTCATCCTTTGTCTTCAGGACTCACCCATGGATATTCTGTAGGACACGGCTGGCAAGTTTTCATATAACGAACACCACCTTGATACCACACGCTGCACACTGTAGGATGGGGACAGGGTTCGGGTAGTCCAGTATATTTAGATTTGTCACATTGCCATGGCTCAAAATTTGCTAAATTATCTAAAGGGGTAGGATTTCTCATCCATTGTACCAGTTGCCAGTTAGTAACGAACCATACGTCTTGCTTATCCAAAATATTGTCCAGAAACTTGAGGAAACCACGACGATGATGATCCGTGTTGAACCATGCCGAATGGTAAAACAACCCAAAGGGAGCTTTATTGTTTTTATAATGGCGATTGAAGTTTTTCGTCAGCATCTTGATAACACCTTCTTCGTCTTGCGGATTGGCGCAAGCATCTGCCATAGAGCATCGACCACCTCTTAGATCCAACCACATAACCAGACCGAGTTCCCAAAGTCCGGGATAGGATTTAGTAGGACAGGGAGCTATCATACACTCGTGATTTATGGCATAATCGAGAGTGTAGGGCCAAAAGGGTGGACTATTCTCGAAGATTGGCATGGAGGCATCGTAGGTAAAGTTGGCTTCGTATAACATATCGAACATTTTGTTGCCACCTATTTGTAGAAATGGAGCTCTCATCCCTCTGATGTCTTCAAGTTTCACTCCTCCATATTTATGCAAGATTTCACGCTGACCTTGAATTTCTTTGTACCATTGCGACTTGGAAAATTTCTCTCCGTAACTGTGACTGTAAGAAAATATTGTTAACATTTTGCAAAATATTATATATCACAAATGTATAATTAAACTAGTTGTAAGAGTTGTATACCCATACATTGATCTTCTATCTCGTGATACATCATAATTAAGTTTAACCCTCTTAACCTATGGATAGTTTCTCATATTAGAAGTAAAATTTTCTGCCTGTTTGAGTTTCCAGGTGATTCTAACTCATGTAATTCATCATCTAATCATGTAATTCACCGTGAAAGTTAGTACTGTACAATAAAAAAGAGGATGCACTGCATCTGCCTGAAAATTTGCCCAATTTTTACAACAATATAAACAACAAATCTAAGTTACTTTAGCCTGTATATTAAAGAAACGTGACTAAAATTTCGAAATTTAACGGTAAAATGTGAAGGTCGCAACAAGGCCACCATTAAACAAACATTCAAGGTCAATGAAAACGTATGTTATGGAGTAATTGGAAAGAGGGGTTTCGAGAAGCTTCAAGGTCATTGTAAGGTATTTTTTATATCAAAATTCTAGTAAAATTTGTACTACGTGAACAAAAATTTGTACTTACGTGATGGAATGAGAGGCCATTTCGTGTCCCTGAGAGTAGAGTGTTTGAACTTGACCATAGTCCGTCCATTCGTGAGAAACGTAAAAAGTTCCTAAAATAGGGCACCCGTTGGGATTCTTCCTTCCCGTCAGAAAAATACTTTTATACAAATCATAATTTAGGTCGTTGATGGCATCATCGAAAGTCAATAACACTATCTGAGGCACTTGATTGGCAGTTAATCCCCCAGGGATATCTGTGCCACCACATCTGCAATCTGGAAGAGCACATGAATAAGAATCGCATCTAACGGCCTGAGCGAAAGGGGGTGGTGTAGAATAAACAGATTTTGGGCGCGAAGGAGGAGTGTTTCTTAAATTAAGTGTCGTCTTATCCGTCGTGGCTACTGTGGGCGATGCTGTGGTTGTTGGTATACGTCCTCTGTTGGTAATTTTGGTAGGGTAATCGTAATCGCTTGATTGGTAATCCGGATAATCTTGGACGGGCGATGTATCGTAGTTAGTAGGATAGATAGTTGGTGTTCTGGTAGAATTTAGGTGTTTCTTACTATAATCGGGTGGATAATCATATTGCGCTGGTGGTGGCTCGTATATTCGTGGTTGGTTGTTGTTCTGTTTGATCGAAGTCTTACGAGTGGCTTCGAAGTTGTCATCGTACCCACCTAAAATCGTTGTTTGGTTGTGATCGGCATCGTGATCGTAAGATTTACCATTATTAGAGTGTAGAGGAGGTAGATCGCGTATTTCTTTACCATAGCCATTTAATTTATTGGTGTTATCTCTGCGATAATTGGTGTTTGTCGATTCGTCTTTAACCAGAATCTGTTTTATGAATACATCGTAATCAGATACACCCGGTATTCGTTGAATCACTCCAGAAGTTTTCGGGGGTCCGTCATTGACGTATATACCACCTTCCGAATCGACGTAGGGGGGTGCAGCTTCATCCGAATCGGGTGTGTCGGGCTCGTAAGACTCATTAACATCAGGGGATTGACGGTTATAGGGATTGAGATTTTCAGGTTCTAGCTCTTTTTTGTAATCGTGTGGAGATTTATATATTGCAATAGTCGTGGGTTCCGTTGTTGTAGTGGTAGTTGGCCTGTTTGTAGTGCTTCTGCTCCTGTTATGGAAGGATAATTGATTATCGTTGGGGGTGGAGATGATTGTGATGTTTGAGCGATGCCTGTTTGAATCAAAACCATCTTGAGGAGGACGTTCTTCAGTTGGGTTTGGTGGCTTTTCACCTGAAAAAACATAAAGGGGATAAGTTTAAAATGGCGTTCTAGATACAAATCATTAGTCAAGTCATTTATACGCGCGTGTATAAAAAATCATATCCGGATAATAGAGCTTTCTTATTATACAAACAATGGCAAAATCGCTGACATATTTTTCTTCTTTTTTTTCAATCGCAGGCATTGAAAGTGGAATTGAGGAAATTGCTAAGCATTCGACATTGTATAAACTTCAAGGACTTTCATATCCAGGTTAAAGAGTATTGTAAGATAGCGTAATAGTTGTGGAATAGTACAGAAACGTGACCAGCCATATGTCATACACGATAAAAATCTAAGCATGATATTCATAAAAGGAAATTGAATTGAAGAGGGATGCTTTTTCTCACATGATTATTTACGTATTTCGTGTCAAATTAATTAAAGTTAACACTCACCACTGGCACATTCGACGTTCCTAGGCCAGTCGCACGTTTGTAGTTCTGCACTAAAATACAATCCACCCGTACAACTTTCGTGTAAAGCATCACCAAACACGCATACGAAGTACTTGCTGCAGTCGTCCATATCTGCGAAGTAACCGAATTGTTCTGGGCATTTGAACGACTTGTCCGGTTCTCCATGGCATTTTTGAGTTAAAAAACCTGTAAAATTTCACATTAAATACGTAAATTATTATGTTTATATAATTTTGTATTACTTACAAAGCATTAAACTTAAATTATTTTGTATCTTCAAGGATGATTTATGAATTGAAATAGTATCAATGCTGTTTAGATATTAAAAAAAAATGGTGTTAGAGCTTCTAGATGTAAGAAAATTGCTTAAATTTAATACTTTATAGGTTAAATTCTTAATTTTTTAAAGTATTTTAACTGTAAAATCTTACATTTTTGTGCTTAAAATACATCATTAAACTGAAAGATAATGTGCGATTACTTAAAAAATTTAAATTTAAGTTAAAAAAGTGCACGAACAACGCTACTTTTAAGCCAAAATTTCCTTTAAGCAAGCAATTTTTAATTAAAATGCATCTTTTTGAAGAATATTCCGATTGAAGATGTGTAATTTAGTGAAGTGTTGCCCTCGTTAAAAGCGTTTTTTTATATACTTCATAGCCTAAAGCTAAAGGATATAAATTAAGTCCCAAAAACTTTAATATTTTTACAAATTTTAAGATTTAATGAATTCTTTTAGCTTCGGGCTATAAAAGTTATTTAAGCAGGTTTTTTTTTGTAAACACTCAAAAAAAATTGAAGCCTCAAAAAGTTTATCGAGTCGTTTTTAGGTTTAGGAGCTCGAAAATCGAGTATTTCTGAGGTTTAGAGGTTTAAAATCTAGCATTATTGGGGTTTAGAGGTTTAAAATCTAGCATTTTGGGGGTTTAGAGGTTTNATATATAAATTTTAATGTTGTATGTATGTTGCTGTAAAGTACAGTAATACCTCGACTTACGCGAACCCAGAGTTATGTGATTTTCAAATCTCATCGAATCATCTTTTGTTTGAGCTCCAGGTAACTCTTGATTATTCACTCCCCCATACCTTTGTTCAGCTTACATGTTCGGACGTGTCACGCGGAATCGATGCATAGCTACAATTTATTTTGTGTTATTTATTTCTGTGTATTTTATATCTACGGAGACTTGAGAGACTCTATGTGGTGATTTCTTGTAATCGTGAATAAATCAAAAGACGAGATAAGATTAACGAGAATATTTATTAGCTTACATACCTCCAACTTGGATTTTACACAAATTGCAAAATTATACCCCAACTTACACGAATTCGACTTATGCAGTTATCGCTCGGTCCCACCTATCGCATAAGTTCAGGGTATCACTGTATTAGATTAAATTAAATTTTCCTGAGAGATGTCAACACATATTGGACCATATGATTATCTTCAATTTTACAATTGTAAATGATTCTTGCTCACAAATAGGTTTACCAGATTTCTATGCAAGGGGGATGGTAAAGACATCGGCTTTTTCATTCGTCATAATGGGTAGTATACGTTTGATGATAACTACCTGTAATTTTATTACAGAATCCATATATTTAGTTAGATCAGTTGGATTTAGAAAGAAATGAATGTGAGAAAAAAGGTAGATGACTCTTTTTTTAAGTGTCTTGATTTACAGAGATCAAACATTCTCACTCAAATTTATACATTTGTAATGATTAAACTGTGGACTCTGAAACTGTATAATTCAACATTATCATTTTGCATTACAGTGTTTCAGAGACATTGTAACATCATATTGTTACGACTTTAATATGAGGCATTCTTTGTCTATTAAAAAATCAAAAATCCTATATCTGATTCACATCCTGTTTCGTTATGGCATAGATGGATTCCTTACTTCACAGCCATCTGGCCAATATCTAAATTGATTAAGTATGAGATAAGTGAATTAAAAACAGATAACTTCCTATTTTAATCATAAAAATTTACATTTTTAAGTAAAAAATGTCGTGAATTTTAACATAAAAATATTTTATGACATGACATTATATATTAAAAATGTAAATTAAACTTCAAAAAAACCCTCAAAAGGTTTTTTGTTTCAAAGTATTCATTCATTTTTTTAAACTGGAAATCATAAATCTTTGTGCAGATGGTTGTGTGTTATCTTAGTGCTAATAACTTATTTGGCTGATTGTTGTTTAGATAATGCCGACAGTGTATTGTTTATTAAACCATATTTTTTATATAGTATTGTTTAATCTTTTACCATAATACATATAACGTCATTTACAGTTTATTTATTTAACTTTTGGGTTCATTAAGTTGATAAAGATTTATATGAAGAAAGTGTTATACCGCATCATAGAAGAATGGAGTTCATACTTACATTAACCTCAGATCTTAGAGATAAGTTAATGGCAGTCTGTTATTTAATGGGTTAATAATGCAAAATATCATAAATATTCATTTATAGTAAGATTTTTAATGTGATTTTCATTATCAAAATCTGTGGAAAGGTTTTTAAATTTTATCTTTTATTGTGTTATACTTCTACATATGGCTATGCATTGTTATTGTTTAAGAAATATCTTTAACAGCTATTTAATTGTTTCCTTGCAGACATAGTAGGTAGTTGAACAATAATTGCTCAAATATTTCTCAACCTTTAATAGGTTTTATCGCTAAAAGTGATACAAAGACTATTAACAATTGAGAAACCCAAAATTGTTCACATAATGTAGCTAAAAATAAAAAGTTTTTAAGAATATCTATCATTTTTATTATATTATTAAGTTTAAACTTATATAATAACTTGAAAATAATGTTTTTTATCCTTGTGCTGTTAAATAGTAGATACAAAGGTTCTTTTTTAACTCTTTCTGCCCTGTAGGTATTAAAAGAGCCTTTTTTCATACCTATCATGAGTTCAACCAGATAGTAAGGGATGGAACCAAATATATCTGGAAAAAATTCCTGAGTTTTTTGATCACTTGGATTCGATTCCAAGTCTCCAGAGCAGTAGGCTAACGCCTTAACACCTCAGCCACCCAGCCATTGGTAGATGATACTAGTATTTGAGAGGAGTAGAAATTGAATTAGCTTATTAAATAATCTTTTTATAATAAAACGTAAATAAAAAAAATTAAAACTTTAAATTTTTTTTATATATATTAAAACACTACTCTAATTTGGAAAACAATATAACTCACAGACACCTTCTGTACTTACAGGAGGTGTCTGAGTTGTTATATTATTTTCCAGCTTATAGCAGTGTTTTAATATAATTTCACTTGTGTTTATGGAAAAAAAATTAAAAAATTTTTACTTGTGACAATAAATATTTCATTAAAAGCTTTATTTAAATTTTTAAAAAAATGAGTGATATGTCATCAATCAATTAATTGAGAATCTTCTCTATGTTAAAATCGACGTGACCTTGTTTAACAAGTTTTAATTTTAACTATGGCATTGTTTCAAACTTTAATGAATATGTACTAGAATCTGATGAACATATACTTCCACACTTCAAACAGGATTTTAATTTGCATAAATGTTTTATTAATTTAATTATTTTTTATTTAAATATATAAGAAAATTATTTGTTTTATATAAATATTGGTTTTACAAACTTTATTTTTTACGGATGTCCTTCATGGAATTTAACAGTCAAATAATTAAATTTTCAGTTAGGTTAATCAATAAAGCACTGTCAAAACAGTGAGTTCTAGTACTCAATTATCACTTTTTATACCAGTTAGTCCACTTAATTTTACTACATAGCTGATAAAGAAATGATATAAAATTCTAAGAAATATTTTGAGCGTATAAAGTAATCAATCAGCATCTATAAATTATCTTAATTTATAAAACTTCTTGTAAGAATATTTTAATGCATAATGTCTGAAAATCTCTGCGTAATTAAGAAAATATGCTCCTGAAATATGCAATTAAGACATAAATGTAGTTTTCAAAGTCTGTTGTTAGATGAATTCAAGATAGAATGGTTTAAACAAATTTCTTTGCTATAATATTAAGCTGATACAATTTGAATAAATTGGAAATATATACAGAAAATTTATTAAGTTATTTTTTATGCATTCTATTAATTTTCTTTTATATACAAGGGATAAATGACCCGATATGCTTTATTGAAGTATTTTATTTTTAACAATTGCATTCCAAGCATTCTAAAGCCTTTCTGGTCAAACCAGAATGGCTCGTCCATGCTTAGTATGCATGGGTGTCCACAGAAAATTTTCCAAGGGGGTAAAGCTTAGAGACAAATAATTTCATCAATAAATTTTAATTTAATTTTTTGGGGTTTTCTCCCCCAAGTAAATTATAGAATACAGTATTGCATTAAAGTGAGTCATGGTTGAGGGTATGAGGTTACCAATTTCAATTATGTTTAATTATAATTTGTGGAAATTTTTACTTCATCCCGGGGATAAGCAAGTGCCATGTTTGTACTCTGTGCAACCCCCCGTTAGTTGATTTATTGAAGTATTTTTTTTATCTAGCCATCTTTCTAGTAATTTAGCTTATTCAAATTTGAATGTATATTTTCTTTCATTTATTTTATTTTATTTTCTTATTGCTAGATATGTATAAATAAACAGCTTTTTTACATAGCCATTCATATAATAAGCAAACATGCATTTTTGATTACCTTCAGTGACTGTTATCAGATTATAGCATTAATATTTGAGATTGTAACCTGATGATAGTCATTGAAGACAATTGGAAATGCTTATTTGCTTATTAAACATATTGCTGGTGTATATAAATTGTTCATTTTCACATATTTAATGAAATAACCAGTTCAGGTTATTTTTTTATTGCATTAATATCTAGTGAACATTACTGTCTTGTTTGGTACTTTCCAATTTTTTTTTTATTTGGTGACCCCTTTCAGTATACTGGAAGACCGTGACATTAACCAGTAATACTGGTCGCAACCCTTTCAGGGGTTGCGACCCACTGATTGGGAAACACTGATCTGAATACTGAAATTCAATTGTTATTTATCAGTATTTTCAATACAAGTTTTTGAGTAAGTGATATAAAAATCCACCCATTGATCATTGAATTGGCATATTAAAAATTAGAGTAATATAAAAAGTTGAAACGATAAAAAAGAAATATATTTAAATATTTGAAATAAACAGAAAAT